CACCGGCCATCCCTATATAGGATCCGAACCCGTGGCCTTGGCACTACCAGCACCGCACTCTCCCGAGTGAGCCATGGGGCCAGCCCAAAACAGAAAACTTTTTAGATAATAACCACTTACTCCAGCAAAACACCACATAAACAACTGCAGTCTCACCTCTACATACACCAGAAAATGCCAAGTGGTGAGCTTGGACTTTCACCTTGCCAGCCTGTAACAAGGTGCCTGCCCCACCAAGGTTGTGTCAGAGAAGGCTGAGTAAGAAGCCAGAACTTTCATCCCTGATGGGGGATAAGCCCATCCCTCACAGCATCAGTAGAGACCACTGGGGAATCCTGGACTTCCACCCCCACCTGGCAGTGTGAGGCACCCCTCCTCTCCATGCTGGGGTGGTGTCACAGGAGACCTAGTGGAGAGTCAGGCCTTCTACCATCCCCCTGCAGTAGGAAGGATACTCCTTCCCTCATGGTGTCAGAGGAGGCCATGTGGGGGGTACTAACAAGGCACTCGTGGCACTCCAGGCCAGGGTGGTATCAGTGGAAGCCTGCTGGGAAGCCAGAACTCCCATCTTGAGCCAGCAGTAACAAGGAACTTGTACTTTCCTTCAGAATCAACAGAGCCATGTGGAGAACTTGGACTTTTACCCACATCTGAGAGTAAAAAGGTGGTACCTCCACCTCCCCCTGCCAGAGTGGTGTCAGAGGAAGCCAGCTAAAGCAGAATGTTTAAACAAAGACTTTAGTTCTCATAATACCCAAAATGTTGATGTTTCAATATAAAATCACATATCATACTAAGAACCAAGAAAATGTCAACTCAAATGAGAAAAGACTATTACCACAGATGCCTACACTAAGATGACAGAGATGTTAGCCATCATAAAAAATGCTTCAACGAGCAATTGTGACACACCTGAAACAAATGAGAAAACAGAAAGTCTGAGAACCAAATGAAATTTTAGAACTGAAAAACACAATAACTGAAGAAAAACATAAAAACCCTCAATGGATAGGCTCTGTAACAGAATGGAGAGAACAGAGGAAAGAACCAGTGTGTGGAAGACAGGATGGTAGAAATTCCCTAACCTGAAAAAAAAAAAAAAAGAGAGAGAGAGAGAGANTTTTGATATTTATTGATGGCTGGGTCCCACCCAGTCCAATTAAATCATAACCTTTGCTGATAGGTCTAGAATGCGCGCACGCGCGCGCACACACACACACACACACACACACAAACTCTCCAGGATTCTAATAGGCAACCAAAGTAAACAATTGAATCACCTAAAAATAAAGATTTCTATCTCTTTTCCAATATCTATACTAGTAGTTCCTGACCGGAGGTGATTGTCCTCCAGGGCGCATTTGGCAAGGTCTAGACACATTCTGGTTGTCATGACAGAGGGGGGACTAGGGGAGGGTGTTACTGGCATCTGGTGAGTATAGGCCAGGGATTCTGCTAAACATCCTCCAATGAACAGGACTGTCTCCACAACAAAAAATTATCCAGTCTAAAATGTCCACAGTGCTGAGGTTGAGAAACTGTAATTTCTATTTTTTCTTTAATTTTCTTGTCTAATTGCATTGGCTAAAATAGGCAGAACATGGTTAAATATTAGTGGTGATCACTTCCAAGAAGATGGAGTGGGCACACTTTTCCCCATTTCTCCTGCTAAGCACAACTAAGACCCTATACATCATAAAAAACAAACATAAGAAGATTCTGAAAGGCAGAGAGAAGAAAGCAGACTGACTAGGAATGTCAGGACCCAAGAAATGACATGGTGATAACTTCTCCAGGTTTCCTTTTTGCCTCATATAAACTGGACTACAAGCTGAAGAAGTCAGCAATCCAGAAATGTCAATGGGCACAGACCAAAAAAAGCCCCAAGAAAAGCCTTCTCTTTCTACCGGAAGGATCAGAAAAGGGGCAACTTAGCAAGACAGTAAACTTTTTTTTTTCTTTTGACCGGTAAGGGGATTGCAACCCTTGGCATGGTGTTGTCTACACCACGCTCAGCCAGTGAGCGCACCGGCCATCCCTATATAGGATCCGAACCCGTGGCCTTNGGTAGAAATTCCCTAACCTGAAAAAAAAAAAAAAAGAGAGAGAGAGAGAGAAAACGGACAAAGAAAATGAACGACCTCAGGGACCAATGTGACTATAACAAAAGATCTAATATTTGTGTCATCAGAGTCCTGGAAGGAAAGGAAAAAGAGGCAGTGCTAAAAAATTAATTGAAGAAATAATAACTGAAAAGCTTATAAATTTGGCATGAGACATAAAAGAGATTCAAGAATCTCAGCAAGCTCAATACAAGATAAATCCAAATAAAACCACATCAAGACACATCATAGTCAAACTGCTGAAAACCAAAGGCAAAAAAAAAAAAAATCTTGAAAGCAATAAGAAAAATAACACATCACCATAGGGGAAAAACAATTCAAATGACAGCATACTTATCAAAAATCATGGAGGCAAAAGAAATGGCACAACATTTTCCAAGACCTGAAAGAAAAGAACTGTCAACCTAGAATTCTGTATCCAGTGAAATGTCCCTCAGGAATAAAGGGGTAAATCAAGACATTCTCAGATGAAGAAGAACTTAGAAAACTAAGAGAACTGGTAGTAGACCTACCCTGAAAGAATGGCTAAAGGGGGCCGGCCCGCGGCTCACTCGGGAGAGTGCGGTGCTGATAACACCAAGGCTGCGGGTTCGGATCCCATATAG